ACATTTAACAGGACACAACTCCCAACATACTGTAATCGTTGAATGGTCCTTCAGTAGCATTGTGACTGCTTGCAAGGACAAATTCGGCTCGGGCCAAGCCTAAAAAATTCAACATACTCTTGAGCTCTTCTATATGTATTTATACACACATGTATAAAAGGTTAGAAAAACTGGTTTACACAGCCGCCATTTGTAATGGAATAAATTGTGACAAAACATTTTTTTAAAATTTTCTAAAATATATGAACCAAAATGGCGTCCGTCTTTTGTTATTTCATATTTTTTAGTATGATTGCACAACAGCTGAATAGGATTGGTTACATTGTACTAAACATTTATTAACTCTGTATAGGAAATGTAATTTGTTTTTACATTACTATATACTGAACTCCTTATAAGACATTAGGACACGTTCAGCATAAAGCCCTATACTGACTATTCGAAAACCTGTCAAAAAATTTCCCAATAAAGTTCGTTAAATTACCAGCGACATACGTGTTGTCCTGTCCATTCATATTCATTCGCTCTTAAAATTGACTTCTCTATCCAAGAAGAACATTGACCAATCACGGCTCGTGTTTTATTTGGGTGAGCCACATTATGACAGGACGGGCTTTCTGTGTTAATCTATCAACATCCGAAAAATGCGACCACAGTAATCTTTTGATTAAATGTTAATCCACTGAATACTTAACTGTTTACTGACTGGAGAATGTTTAAGCTCTAAGACACAGTTCTTGATTACCCTGTTGGGAAAATAATTGAGAGCTAAACTTGCTAGATACTTTGTATAATGTGACAGCTAGGATCCGACCTACTTGGCGTTGGCATTTAGATACTTTTTTGTTTATTAAAAAACACGATGAAATTCTTAACGCAAAAGTACTTTACTAAATTATCCCCTTATAGATGGAGATAGAGTTAAATAAACCTCTTTGCATGATCTTGTGAATTTGTCGCACATTTCCGTGAATTATTTGGCTCTCAAGTCTATTGGTTCTTAACTACTCACATTTTCGATCTTTGCTCCGCCTCATCGTTTTAGAGTAAGTTTAGAAAAATGAATTTTTTGTTGAATTTAAATCCAAAAACAAACTCGGATCAATCCATGGGAAGAATGTCAACTTCGAAAATTAGACCAATAGACTAATAAATGGAATAGTTTCCTTTAGCGGTGCCCGTATACCGACATACTTGTGTAAACAGCATTGCAGTACGCTCTAAGCTTCACAATCTTCAGTTTTCTGTGAGATCAGTTGTCAGGAAAATTGTAAACAAACAGATCATTGCGTATTAATGTTTGTGAGAGTTGTGAGGCATAAATGTTTTTGACACAGCTGAGAGTTACCTGTTAACAAGGGAAAGTTTCTTTGTCGAAATATAGCTATTGAACAAGGTAAGTGTGGAATACAAAGACGAGGTCACAACAATAAATGACCTTATTATGATGATATGAAAAAATTATCGTTGAAATACTTTTAAGGTTTTCTTATCGCTGCCCATGAGAGATAATTTACCGCCCTTATATACTAAAAACCTGGTACATTGAACGTAAGGTCAAATAAATAGAAATTGGAAGAGCTTTCTTGGTTGGAAATGCGACCCTTGTGAACGGGAACTTTCGTACTTTACAGCTATAGTGTTCTTTCTTTTTCTAGCTGGACAAATCGTTCTTTTTTAATAATAGCTATCACCTTCTTATCGAGAAAGAGCTTCATTTCTTCTTTTCTGAGTTACGCATACTGTCCTGTTTTGAACTGGATTGAAATCTCTACTAGTCAGTATTAGTATTTGAATTTACTTTACATATTTTATTGGGGATGTTATGGAAGACGTATAGCAATATGCGGAGATTTTAAGATCGAACACGGCTAAACAGTACTGCTTTAGTAAAGTATAAAATAATAAAAATAGTAATGAATAGACAGAACCGAAGAAAAGTTTACCCCCCAAAAATAGATTGTATTTTGGTAACATTGATCAAAGTCAATTAACAATTACTGACTTTTCTTGTTGAAAAACTTTGCAATAATGTGAAGAAAATATTCCTTTTCTTCAAAGTTGATATCCAGAAAAAAATGTATAATATTAAAATCTTGAATATATGTTATTTGTACTTCAAGTAACACGCATTGTACAATCATGTATGTTTTATGAATTGACTTCGTCCCTAGAATAAAATATAGAACAACTGATGACACCTACAAGCAAAGTGAATATTATTAAACTGTCTCCTTTACAACTACATAGGTCTTTATAGTCAGGATTTTTTCTAGACACTCACAAGTTCAATTGAAAATTTTAAATGAAGCAATGATCAAATTACAATTTTATTTTATACCTAGTTGGATGTCTCATAGTTTTTATGAGAGTACGAAAAACACATTAAATGCACAAAAGATTCATCTTGGAGCAACATGAACTTTAGTGACTGTATGGAAACAAAATCTATAGCCTAACTTTAAATATTTCGAAAGGGAAGTTGAAGCAAATTGACTTTCTAAGTATTCTTTGGTCTTCATGCTATAGGGGAATGCGATGGAAGTTTCTGTTAAAGAGTCGAGGAAGAACGCTCTGCATGAGCTAAGTATTCATTGATGTGCGACGGCCATACATGCTAGCGGTCACTGTGTTGAGCCTCGAGATRTTATTGTAACAAACATTATATTTGTTGTATCTAACATTGCTTTTGTAAATGAAAAGAAAAGCTTTTGTCCCTAGAGGGAAAAAAATGCAGCTTTTCTTATGTTCCAAACATCGAAAAGAAATCCAGCCGTAAATTTATTCACTAGTTCAAATAGAAAACGCATCTTGTGGGGCATTAGTGAGAATAGACTCATCACTTCAGACGCGTCCGGATTAAGAAAAACTTAAAAACAATTCAAATAAATGTAATAAAATATTACTGAAAATATGGTTACCATTATACTTCCTTTACAACAAAGATTAATATAAGTCTTTATAGGTTTGTATGATTGAGATTAGGTAAGAATAAATAGAAAATAACTGTCTTATTCTTCGAAAAATTGAAGCAGACAACTCAATTGTGATACGTACATCGCTTGCAGCCATCGTGTCATCAATGAATGATTTCCATTCACGGATTTTGTGGATTTATTAAATTATTGAATCGTTCACGCTAATAAACTAGTGTTACACTATCAGTTAACGCTTGAACAAGTTATAACCTCGAGAAAAAGGATTAATTTTAATCGAGAGAAGTGAGAAAAACTGGTGGTGGTAAGTTGATGTCTAAGAAGCAAGACTGCTTTCGTGTCTTTAATCTTTATGTACTAAATATGCATCAAAAGAACTAGTATTATTACGAAATTCTTATTAAATTACTCTACTTTACGTGCTTGGGATCATTTCGTAAGAAACGTTCTTCCAATATATTGAGGAGGTTAGGAATTAGTTTGGTAAACAAAAAGTCTAATACAGCCACTCCCTCTATAAGATGTACAATATCATGGTGCACGGTAAGAGTTTCACACATGATTGCTAAAGTCTCTAGTCAAGCACGACCTCACGTTTTTATAGCTAAAATTCGCTTAAGCAATATGGTATTCTTAATGTTAATCGTGATAGCTTCAGTTCAACTTGCTGTGGGTGATAAATAAACTACGATTGGCAAGACAACTTTTGCTGTTGCATGTAATGTGTCTCTAAAACCTGAGATGTTTTGTAAATAAGCTACTAGATAATAAACTTAAAATAACATTGTGTTTATAAAATAAAAATACTTAGTCATCCCCTTTGTTTAATTTTATTTTGAAAATATTTTAAGCTACCTTGCTCGTGGATCCTGCAGTATTAATGAAACGGAAAGGTGCCTTTTTTCCAATGAGAACAAGCATGCATAGCTAGAAAAGCTATCAGAGCACTTCATCGAATCGATGGCTATACACAAGTTGTGTTGAGTTGGTTTTCTATCGTCAAAGTCTGCTTCAAGTATGCCTATGCTATACATCGGCCAAGCATCCATGTCCGCTGTGATATCCGCGTAAGATCACGGAAGATGTTTTGTACCACAAGGAACAAACCCGAAAACCACTGAGAACAATAGCTTCATAGCGAATGAAGAAAACATAAACAAATAGAAAATAAAATCCTGTTAACATTTAAATCATATTTTCATAATCTATAAAATACAGCTCATTAAACAGTTTAACTATTTTTGTCCAGTAATTTGTTAAATAAACTTTGTATTTCCTCACAAGCCACGAGTGGAGCATGTGGAATGAGTGATAACACGAGAAACAAATCCTAACGTCCTGACCAAACTTGATAAAGCAGACCCCTATAGATGTTTGACATTTCTCTCCAATCAATAGAAACAGTTTCCAGACTAAACGACGCTCGTCGTCAGATATTATTGTCAATCAACTTGGATAACAAATCTTGCGAGGCATTTCTGAGTATGTTTAATAGATATGAGTACGTGAGGGAAAAAAAAAACGATCTTGGTCTCACTACAGATAATGATATAATTCTTTAATGGGTGTCAAGTGAAGAATCCATACGTTTAGTTGGTAGGTAACAACTTTTTGGGACAAAGTTTAATAGGCATGCTTAACGTGTTGATGGAAACACTTTGATAGCAGTTTATACTTTGGTTTGCTAAGGGTGCATTAGATTCCCTTGCCAAGAGAATAGAATTGGTTTTGTTTGGTTATGGCTCACTTCGATACAAGACTCACGTTTGTCGGCCGCAGCACAATCTAAGATCTAGAAGCTAATTAGAACGATGAAGGGTTTTTAGATCTATATTACTATGTACTAAGATAGTTATTTTAGCTAAGAAATGTGATTAACACATTCATGGAAGCTTTGTCTCAAGACCATTAATCTTCATCTTCATTTGCACGCACGGGGCGTGTCATAGTCCCAAAATGATAAAGAAATCAATGAAGCCATATACAATAAGAAAACTAAGATACATAGAGGATCCAATTCTTTGAATGATAAGATCGACTTAATTAATTAAACTAGTAAAATCATTAGCAGTCTTCAAGGAGGTCTGTCGTCTAATTAGGACACAATCAATCAATGTCGGCACATGTCGTATCGGTTGAATATCTTCTGCAAATACAGGGATCAGTTTTTGATCCATTGGTTGTGTACACAACTGTTACGCTGTGCCGTTTACGTGACCCGGTCGATGGTTTATGGTAAGGTAATAATTTGTACAACCCCATAGGCTTGGTGTATTGTCCTGGCAAGATCGCACCGTTAGTTTTAATGTGCAAGAGAGTCAACAACTATAATATACTTGAGGATTAGTCACTAATGCCCCTTTGAGTTCTTCACATCGCGAATCGCTTGAACATTATTAACCTTGTGTATTCCTCTGCAAAGCTGGACCAGATGCAATAGCTACACTTCTTTTTGAAGTCCCACAATTTGATCGATTTGATTTGAAATGGACATTAAATTCTTCCAATTACTGACAAGCGTGAAAAGTGAGTGCTGATCGCAGTTTCAAGCTCATCTAGTAACTAGCCGATTATAAATCTAAGTACCTCTTATAAAACGATCGAGGGAGGGGTGGTCATATCAAAACCTTTCAGCAAATCATTCATGATTAACAATAGAAATACCTACTGCAAGTATTATGATCCCAACCCGGGAAGATAATAATTCAGGCTAAAGGAAGTGACTAGCACGTATAATACTAGTAAGATCACGATCCATTGGCCGTCTACCCTCCTGTAAAGATAATGATTATTATAACAGGTGTTTAGGACTGTATAATGACGTCATACTAACTCTTATTTTTATTGGTGCAGACATCGAAAAGATTGAGATACCCTAGACACATATCAAGGGAATTCTTTGCAGAGTGCTTCGTTCAGAGCAGAAAGAACCAAGTCTGTCTCCGCCTGTAAGCCTCGGGACTGGTTACATTGATTATTCAAGAGATATCTTGTGACAGTTTTTAGTATTGGAGTATGGCATCAGACTCGCCTTGCACTTCGTTTACCATTGATAACATTTTGAGACCCGATAACCCAGAAAGAACAGTACAAGAACCTCATTCTACAGCTCGGGCTTTGACGCTAGCAGAACGACTTGCAGGTAAAATACTTTCACTAATAATCATTTTCCTCTTCAACGGAGAGAAAGCTCTTGAACATGGATAGCGTTCCTTAATTCTCTCTTTATGAGGATATTGAATAGAATGGAAACCGCCTGAGGAGACTGAGCAAACATGATGAAAGCTAATGATAAAATCAAGTCTTTTCCTGAATCCTTCACTTAAGCTGTCGAGATTTCTATTAGTCTTGATAGAAGTTAAGCTGCTCCTGAAAGCATCTTTGAGGTAAAATAGCTTTGAACAACATTGAATTAAATATTATTAATCAAATTAATCACTTGATTAATTTTTATCCTTGAGGAATGCTTGGACTTAGAAGTTGAATATTAAGCTTAGAATACAATCCTGAAATCTTAGCAAATATTTTTGGGGGGAAATGAATCCAGTGCACATTGTTCTACCAACTGGCCAACATCAACTCAGTCACGAAGAAGACATCGCTTATTAATTTTATTTTTACACACTTGAAAGCTCTTAAGTCAAGTGCCCTAATAGGCATTCATGGTGATGGTATTTTTTTATACCATGTGTGGTAAAAACACACGCCTATTGCAACGAAACTCTTGTTATCTACTGTACCCAACTGATTTATCTTAACCATAAAACTCTCAACAAATCACTGAATTGACTAGCTAGCCAGGTTGTTTTGACTAAACAAACCTTTAACGAGTTATGGTATGTGTTAGTAGAGGGATTATCTTCTTAGTTTGTGGTACTCGTTTTTCTCACGCAACTCTTACTGAGAATAAAATAATGGCTGTCAAAACAAGTAAAATGGCTGTCAAAATTATAAAGCTTATTTATGCGTCATGCATGTCCATAAACCTAGCTGCAATAGAAGTTTTACGGCAGTTGCTTGTTCTCTAGCTATGTGTGCAACCTTTAATTTGTATTCATGGCTTAATGCCAGTATAGTTAACTTTTACTACTTGGAGGTTTATTGAGCTACAAACTAACTCTTAAATGGAAGATACAACTACTTGCAACAACGAATTGATGCTAAATACTACATAAAGAACTCGAATCAGCATGTCAGTCGACTACAGTGGTATTTTTCATCATCCATACCATAGGCTTGTTCGTCTGCTTTGAAGTTCTGGTTTGCTCGATACTTATGAACAATGCCTGCTATCCAACATTTACGACTGTCTAGTTTAAATCATAGTCCTTCAGTCATTCAAATGGGAGCCCAAGTCTTTCTAACTTAATGCATCTCTTTTCTAAATTGCACACAAACTGATTTTATAATGTGCATTGTAATATATAAGAATCAGATATATGAATATAGAGAAGACACCATTGTCATCTAAGTTGACGTTTAAATGTTCCCAAGTGTTTTTAGCCTAAAGCTAAGCTCAGCTAATCCAAACCTATCCAAAAAATTTCAATAAACTCTTCAAAAACTGGTTTCATGGTATATGGTTTTCAAATGCGCTATTCTTAAGACTACTTGATGGAAATTAGAAAGGCCATTCGCAAATATTCCTGTATTTTCGGAATGATGCGTCGACGAGTCGTTCCTTCCTATTTTCAGTCTAAATTATTGTGGCGGCAGTAATGAATCCCTAGACGATTTCTAGCCATATATCTCTATTTATTTTGTTGTTTTTTGTTTCTATCCAAAGATATCATCTTGGAAGTACATTATGGTTCATCTAGAGCCAAACACAGACGAACAAGAACTGCCTTCACCCATCAACAACTACAGGTGCTCGAAGGGACATTCTCCAAGACTCATTACCCGGATGTAGTGATGAGAGAACAGCTTGCTGCTTACATCAACATCCCTGAGTCAAGAATTCAGGTATCTTGAATAATCATACCAAAAATAGATAAACAATACTGAAAAAATCTGCGATTGAAATGATTGGCAAGGTTCTAAATACTGTCTTAGTGCCGGTTGAAATCAAAAGGAGAAATGGTAGACAAGTTGACCACGTAATATTTAGCAACACAGAAAAAGATGCAGTTAATTAAGGCCAGACACAAAGTTTAATTTACTTGTTTTAAAAAAGACCTGCTTTTAAGATGGGCACAAAACTTTGGATGTTATTGTAAAGAGACTCATTTCTCAACTCAAAGTATCCTTGACAAGATCGCAACTTGATGGTCAAACGATGCAGCAAATTATTGAGATTCGTTTTTCTTTGATTCTATACTCTTTTAATGATGAAGCAATTTTTCCCGAAATGAAAAAAAAAAATGTAATGCATATTCTCATTATTTTTCGTTATTTTTATATTTATCTTAGGTCGCGCACTCTTGCTTCACATCCGGCGTTGTTCAACTCATATTCTTTAGTTGAATATTTTTAAGCTCACTTTGTTATAAATATCTGATATTAATATCTGTTTAATCTTATTATTGCTCAGGTCTGGTTCAAAAACAGGCGAGCAAAGTATCGAAAACAAGTCAAAGAAGGCGAAGATCCATCATCGAATAAAACCTTTGAAAGCTCGTTCATTCCTCTGGACCCAACATGGATGATGGCAAGAGGGTGCTACCCTACATCACCTACATTCTCATCTACCTACCCCAGTATACAATTCAATCAGTGTCAGTTACCTTGGTCGCTGTGTCCATACACTGGTACTTCGTCTTGCTCTTGTAGAGAGATGAATGCAAACTCTAATGCGTCTCCTCATTGGCCCATTTCTTATTGTACTCAGTCTTCGATGTTCGGCCAGCCCCGACGTTTGGAGCCTGGGGAGCAGGTTACTAAAAAAGAATAACATTACATGGAGCTGAAATATAATTTTACAAGTTGTGTAAATAGGTTTTAATTCTTGATGAAGAATAGCGAATGGCGATTTCCTGCAAATCATGAAAGGTCGATTCAAGTTAATGAGATAAACAATCAATGAAATGAGTGAAAAAGCAAGGACAGTTCAAGGTGTATATAATACTTTCTGAAAATTTAAAAATCGTAAAAAAATATCCCCTAATTGTTGCACAGTGCCGCAAGCACTTCATTAGGACCTAGTTATATGTTTGAAGGCCTGAATCCATTAGTGGCTAACGTACTGAGTTGCCAACACGGGCCCTGTGTAGGACTAGTGTAGGACTGGAACACCTTACCAGTTGGACAGTGTAATAGGAATTATAGTTTAAATCTCAAAATTCAAAATCTTTACATTCGATTTTCAAACATAGTGTTCAGGGGGGCCATATTTCATGATAGTGTCCTGCATGTAGGGGAAAGTCACTTCGCGCAACCCCCCAAACTTGAGCAAAGCACTGGGACTTTTGTTGGTTAAATGACGATAAGATTATATACATCGGTAGTATGTTTACCAACCTAGTTCTTGAGAACAGCCACTGACTTACAAAACCAAGTCTTACAGGATCCAATTTGTAGTGCAAAGGTTAAACGCCTTTGAAATGACAGATGGGACAAAAACATTAGACTGTAGCATAGTCTTTTTAGCATGAGAATTTCGTTACTTTACGTACAACATATAAACGTACTCCGAATACCATGGATCAATGACCTACACATTGGTCTGAAACAATGCAGTGATTTATAGTAAGGAAAACGTTTATGCAGGGCCTAAAAACCAACACAAAGGAATGTATTTTTAATGAAGTATAACTTGACTAAATACCACAGTTTGATAAATTGCACTGACAGTAGCAAGATCGAGTTCTGTGGTGAACGCGGACTAATGACTAACGGTTAAGATAATGATAACTTTATACGAGTTTATGAAAACAAATTAAGGAACTTTGACATTGAATTGATTATTTTAAGAACCACTGCATACGAACCTTGTTTCCTTCCTGTATGTGCAACTGTTCCATGGGAAAATTATGAAATATGTAAATGATCGATCTGAAATCAAACTGTAAATATGTTATAGAGAACTAGATTACTCGCGACCAATATTCTTGGGGTACAAACAAATAACTCCAAAACCCTCGAGATTTAAATRACGGTCAAACGGTCACAATGCTAGTTGATCTAACAAGACAAGCTAATTAGGAATGCTTTGTTATCGTGTACCAACATGGCGGCTATGACGTAACACCCACCCCAAGAATTATAGTATCTATAGGAATGGAAAAGGGATCATTATCAAAAGCGTCCTGAAACGTCTTAAGCTTTATTTACGTACAGACAATGAGGTATAATCCTAGGAAATTGTAGGATGAATATTGTTCAAGAAATAAAAAAATGAAACAGTCGTCAAGTTAAGACCTTCCAAGGGCTTAAGATTCCCGAGGTAAATAACAAACACTCGGCAGAAGGTAACAAGGTGTTTCATTTGGAGCTTCATTCCCTTGAGAATCATTTCTTTATTTAGTAGAGTAGCGATTGATAAAATACATTAAAAAATAGGTGCAATTCAAACAAAGAATCTTATACTCCAGCGATTTGGAATGGCAAAGCTGCCAATATTATCTCATGATCGTATTTATAGCCCTTGGCAGAAACGACTATTTATTTGTCGCGCGGGGACTGGGACGAATAAACCCCTTTTGGGTAGACAGTAATCACAGTACTATATAAAAAGAAGCAACATCGAGAGTCGAGAGAAATTACCCAGTAATTTTTTCCCAGGCAGCATCACATGGCCCGTTTTTCCAGCTTTTCCTGTCAAATTACCAGGAATATACAGCTCGATTTTTTGGACTTTTTGTAAGGAGCAAGGAATCACGTTTTACAAAAAGATTGCACATGAAGCTGTAAATGAAACAGAATTTGAAGATAAAAAATTCTCAAAAAACTAATAAAAAATCTTAGCTGGATACGGTGAGATTCGAACCCAAGTTCACCGACAAAAAATTCAAAAAATCGACTCCACTTTGCCATACCCCCGAGACATCTGCAGAGCTGGGGCGTCGTATGGACTTCGGACCTGACGGCGATTAAATCCTTCTGCCCTTGGGTGCACGAATTACGCAAGAAAATATTCTAGCCGA